AATAGTAAATCCCCTTTGTTTGCCAAAAAATCTTGTTTGCTTAATTTTCAATAATTAAAAGATAAATGAAATACATTTTTTATGCCTTCATTTGATAACCAGAAAAATGTAAATACATAACACAGAATTTCTGAGGGGAAAAAATGGCTACTTTAAGAAACAAATGAATAAATTAAGTTGTTTTATGCATTCAAATAATTAGACATGCTAAAACACAGAATTTGGTAACAATAAAAAATATGGTGAGAAAAAGAAAATTTTTTATAGGGCCCTAAACATGTAATTTTTGTTAAACTTTTAATAAATTTATGTGAAAATATATAAGTTTCATGATTTTAATTAATTAGACATGCTTTTTTATTAATACAATTTAATTTAACTATTAAAATGAGTCAAGAAAAATTCAAACAGAAAAAAACTGAATCCAGAAAAATTTAAACGGAAAAAACGGAATTTGGAAAAAAATAAAACGGAATTTAGGAAAAAAAATAAAATGGATTTCATAGGGCCCTACAATTCTCTTCTCTTTGCTTGTAGTGTGGAGTGCATGTTGCTTCAAGCACATCATTCTGCACCCTAGATGTGCATAAGCGCTGCAACTCCATGTTGCTTCAAGTGCACCATTCTGCACCCTGGATGTGCATATGAGCTTTGCACTGCTCTGTTTGAAGCGTTTCACAATATAAAAATTTTGCACATAGAAAGATTATTAGAAGCCTTTCTTTTTCTCATGATTTCTATCTTATTTTCATGAATGTATTTTGTAAGAATACAAATAGTTAACAGAATAAACATGTTTAAATTGTATAATGTGCACAAAATATTTTTTTTCAAGATATTGTTTTTGCTGCTAAATTATACAGACAGCTAGTTTAATTTCATAGCTTATATATTTGTATTCAAATGTAGTTTTTCTCTTTAATGAGGAAGTGAGTGGTGTAGAGAAAAAATAGCGCTGGTGTTGGATCGGTATTGGCCGATTCTTAGAATTTGGAATACTCTGTGTAATCTTACACTGCAAAATAATAACTCAAAAAAGAGATTAAACGATAACATCATAATTATTTACTGAACCCTTAAATTAATCACAATTATATAATGAAAGCCATAAAAATCAGACAATCGTGATAATCGGCATAAACGTCATAATCGCCAAAGCCCCAAAACAGACAATTAATCGCAATAACCGTGACTATTTTTAGACAATTAATCGTCAGCCAAATTTCATAATCGTGACAGCCCTATATCCACCCTTATGAGATATGCAGTAAGTCTGGTCTTGCATTGTACGTTCAACAACAAACAAATACGACAAGAACAATAGTCTCACGCGAAACAATCACTGATGAAGGCTGATGATAAACAAGAAAGACTTCTCTTTCTGGCTTGTTTCCTGAAAACACTGTTCTCTCTTTATGGTTATGTAACTGTTGTGCTATTTGCAGGGCCAGTTAATGTCACAAACAATGCTTTCATCATCTATTAGGGTGATTCAAAAATACTTTTAAAGTTGTAGTTTTTACAATGACTTTTTTAAATTAAGAATTTTTAATAATTTCAAGATAAAAAATGTCTAGGCAGTGTAAATGTCTGATTGTAAACGGTCTCAAGAATACTAAAAAGGACAAACAATTATTTACAGGTATTATTTGTTACAAAAATCGAATAAACAGTAAAGCAATTATGTTTAAAACAGAATATCTGGAGAAAAAATGGTCAAGTTATTGATGTAACCAGGAAGCAGGGAGCTATTTTGCTGTCATGTGACCAGGAAAACATGAAGCAGAAAAGACCTCTTTAGATGCTCATCATGACTATGTGTCAAGATAATTTAAATACCAAATACCACAGTATCACATATTTTAATCTTTTTTTTAAAAAAAGGCAAGTTTGTTCAGGTCAGATAGAAGAGCCTTAATAAAATCATAATAATCTTAAGAAATAATTATTGTTTACTCTAATTTGCCTATAAAGCATTTAAGTACTTTTTAGTTGATGGTTACGTCACATTTTAGAGTAATACATTTTTATATATATATCAGGCCTATTTTAATTAGGCCCATTTTTTTTTTTGTAACAGTACATTTTAAAGTAAATTTTAAAAATATATATTTTAAAAAACCTCAGCCTCATTTGTCATGAATTAAAACATATATTTATATTCAGAATCGCGTTCTGCATTACATGTAAATATTACTTTCATACTTAATATATTTTTTGCTTGACTTGACTGA